GTGCAGGAGAGTCCTGGTGGCTGTCTGCATGCTCCCCCTGCACTCACAGCACCCTCCATTTCTCGGTCCTCTGCTCTCTGCCATTTTGTACTTAACACTACTGGTCCCATAATAGATCAGTGGTATGCAAAGATCCCTCCTCAGCTGCTCACCCAAATCCTAGACACCCTGTCCCCTAACACACTCAGCACCTCTCTTCCCTCTTAGATATTTCTGTGTTGGACTCATCTTTGCAAACAACTCCCATGTGCACATAGCTCTAACGTGGCCATGTTCCAGAAGCATGCACTTAATTCTGTGTCCATTTTTCTCTCTTTGTCACCTCAGTACACTTCCCACCCAGAAATGCTGTCCTCCTCTCAGTGTGATCCTGACTACCTTGCTTTCAGTCCCCAATTCTTTATATGCAGTCGCTCTGGTGAAATGTGTGTCCCTAGTTTGCCAAGCTTGCATGTGGACAAATGCATAGGACATTTAGAATGCAGAAAGCACTTTATGTGGTAAACTCAATCAGATTCTGTAGCCCCAAATCTCAACATTAACATAATAAAGAATGTTTGTTTTGGACACATCCACTATCTCTTTTTTGGGTCTTAGGTCTCATGGTTTAGCTTTTAGTGAGAGAAAGACCTAGAGGAGATACAGCTGACAAAAAAATAAAAATCTGATGACTATGTATTCCTAAACCATCTTCATTTCACCTGAACTGGGTCAATCAAAAGAACTCTGGGGTGAGGGATTGAGCTCAGTGGCAAGATGCATGCCTCATACCTGCAAGGTCCTGAGTTAGAAATCCTGTGCCAAAATCAAAGAAAACATACAAAAAAAAAAAAAAGATTTAAAAAATGAAAGAGAACGCTGCCAAATGTGCTGGTATTTCATTTGATCACTAGCTCAGTCTTAGTGCAAGCCATGTGACTTTGGACCTTCTCTGTCCCTCACACACCTGACATTTCTAATTAACACAACAAAAACAAAGAGGTTTTATACTTTTCCTGGCTTTTTCCTATTTAGTAAGGAGAAGAACTCTGAAGAATGATCAGAAAGAGACCCTTTTTCAGGTAGATACCCGGTGTCCTTTTGGCCATGACTTTTTTTTT